TTCATTCATTCATTCATTCATTCATTCATTCATTCATTCATTCATTCATTCATTCATTCATTCAAACATTTATTTTATTTTGGTAAACTGTCCACATCTACAAGATTTCAGTAAATAAATTTCTGAAAATCACCTTGTTGGTGTTAAAACAGCATTTTAGGTCAAACTGACACAGATACAAAAATGGCAACAAATTGTGTTTCTATGACAGCTTCATGGTACAGCTTCATTTTTTCTTGTTAAACATTTTGCTGCAAACATCCTGTAAATTCAGGAGCATTATTGCAAAACCATTTTCTCATTTTGTCACATTATCGCCACACACTTCGACGCATTTTATTGGGGCTGACCAAACCAAAACCTATCATGTTGGTGTCAAAAGTGAAAATAAATTGCATAGTTTCCAACTATTTTTTGACAAAAAATCCCAAAAGTGTGACATGCATTTATATTTAATCCCTTTAGTTCTGAAACCCCTAAATAAAGTCTACTTCAACCAACTGCTTTCTGCATCCACCTACTTGGTGATACATTTCAAGTTTGGGCAAACACACAGCAAATCCAGCTATTTTGTTTCAGGACCGGTTTGTTAGAGGACATCAGAAAGCAAGAAGCATCAGAAAGAAGGAATGCAGCAGACATATTACAGATTATGGCTGTGGACAGGTTTAAAGCCGGGTTATGATACAAAACAATATCCCAAGATTTAAAGGTCTCACAAAGGACTATTTTATTGATCATCTGAAAATAAAATGAAAATCGTGCAACTACCAACCGGAGAATCTGTGGCAAGACCTGAAAAGATTTGATCTTCACAGACACTCTCCTTCCATTCTGATTTATCTTAGCAGAAACTGGTCAGGTATTGGACAGACACTGAATGACAATAGCATTGAAAAGGAACAGCTGAGCAAGACAACTTTACAAGCCTCCACAGTCTGTTTTCTTGTAATAAAAAAACAGAGAAATCAGGAATGATTATAAGCATGTGCACAAATTTCTAGTCCCATGAAGGAAGAAGCAGTAAAATAATCCACTTCTCAATGGAGTTCTTCACTTATAAGCCAGCATCACCTCTGGAGAGGCAGCCCTTTGAGGACAAAACCCATTATTATGGGTTTAGCCCACGAGGCATGTGGGTAAGAACCTGGGGGCCACCCTGATGATACTGAGGCATTCTATTGGGTCTGGGTCTTTAGTCCCCGGAGTCAGGGGCCCCTGAAGCAGGCATGGTGCTGAGACATGGTGGCCTGACTGATATTCATGTGGGCCAGGTGAATGTGCCCTTCAGGCACAGCTGGGGTACTGGAGCGTTACGTTTCTGAGAAATAAACAGAATGAATCAATCTTGGAAATGTAGGGGTTGTAGTATGGAGTGGAGGGTGTCAAATACTGCATGCATGCATTTCTGGAGTAACTCTGAAGCTGTTACGTTAAATGATCTCAAATGCTATTTTGACAGGCTTCAATGAGATATTTTATCTGAACAAATAAAGTATGTAACCAGATACGTCCATGTGTTTTATTGAGATTTGTATGCAAAAGACCAACATAAAACATCACACAGTAAAGAGAGGTATGTGTGGCAAGTTGAGATTGTTTCACAAATAAAAATCGAACATTTGTATTCAGCCCTTTTTTCTTAGATAGCTCTGAAATAACTCGCAAACAAATGCCTTCAAAAGTCTCCTAAGTAGTAAGCACCAAACCAGAGACAGAACTGATCACTGAAGGATGGCGGCGGCATCTGGTAACTCTGCAGAAATCCACAGCTCAGGTGAATCTGTCAACAACGACTTACAGTCCACAAGTCTGACCTATGAATAGAGGTAAGAAGAAGAAAATGCTGAAAGTCTCTTTGCAGTTTGACCCAACCACATAGGAGACACAGAGGTCATGTGAAAGAGATGCTCTTGTCAGATGACAACAATGGAAACTTCTTGGCCTAATTGCAAAATCTAGTGGAGAACCGATAAAGCACGTCACCCTGAAGAGGACAACGTCTATGGTGAAACACGGTGGTGGCAGCATCATTCAGATGACATGCCTTTCTTTAGAGGTGATAAGGAAGCTGGTCGCAGTTGCTGGGATTGTGGACAGATTTACAAACAACCAGAGATAAAAACTCTAAAAAAACTTTAGAGAGAGATGAAGAGTTTTCTGTACATTTCATCTTTCCTACAATTCACAATTGTGAACTATTTTATTCACAATTATATCCCAATAGAAATTACTTCCCGCATCAAATCCCAGTAAAATACACTGAGAGTTTTGGTTGAAATTCAACAAAATGTGGGCCAGTTTGAACAGAATGAATACCTGTGTATGAACTTGTAGTTTGCTTACATTGGAACGCAGACATAAAGGAAGGTAATCGAGAGTGAAATGATTTTTATATGATTAACAGGCAGCCAAATCAGTGAGAAATTTTGATTTAAAATTATTCTTCCTCTATGTTGCCATCTGACAGAATAATTCAACTAAATGACCAGGACTTACTGGTAATCTGACCTAAAAGGCCTCTATTCACTCAACATGATTAGGTTTTCATCAGAAAACTTGTTACTGTGAGAACCAGCTCCTGGATGACAAAAATCCTCTTTGTCTGATCCGTGGCCTTGCTCCGCTGATAATAGAGCAAAATGTGGCCTGGTGGGGTGGGGGATAATTTGTTCCCAGATCTTCAAATTGTAATATTTTTATTTGAGCCCAGGAGGGGATCTGTTCAATTGCCAGCTTCCATTGTACCCTGACCAGGAGCACGAAAGTCTTGTCAATTAATTTTTTCTTTTATTCCAGAGCACGTTGTGCCTGAGCGCATTCAATTGTCAACCAATTAGGAGGTGTTTCCCGTTGTTTACATGCTTTGATTCCGTGCGTATGGATGTTGTTAGAAAATAATAGCAAAGGAGGGTGTTAGATCGCATGAATGTTTCCTCTGTGTGGCCCAATTTGGAGTTTCTATCCCAACAACAGCACAACAAAACATGCACAACATGCATTTTGGAGAGAAAAAGCATTGCGAATGCCAATATTTTGGGTGTTTTCTTACTATTATTATTTTCAGGCTAAACCGGCTAGCAGGCGCCTCCAGCTCAGACAAAAAACTGAACTTCGCTGAAGTAACTTTAAAGCTCTGATCGCATGTTATTGGGGTTATTGGAAGTGACAAGCGGAAAATGTCTGTCTTACACACCTTCCTAATTCCAGCCACTTTTCTCTGAGTTTCCTGACAAGCTCTTGTGTGTGCTGGTTCATTTAAAACCTGTTTTAAGATGAGGTCTTTTTGTATTATTCTGGGGTCAAGTTGAAACGAAGATTTAAACATCTCAGCAGGAGGTCACAAAAATATTTGAAAAGCACAATTTAACTTTCAATTTAAATTTCCTCCAATAAAGGAAGGAGCTCAAGGACCTTTTGTTCTTTGATGATTTCACTGTCCAATTATAAAACCGCCACACAAAAGGTTTAACCAAGAAGGAAACCATCAGAAAGTTTCCAAACCGGTGCCCAGTCTAGAGAGAGGCTTTTGATTTTCAGGTGGGACAGAAATAGGCATTATAGGATTTTATAAAGGGATGTGCCTTTGGAGAATGTTGATCGATAATATTTATTGGAGTAACATAATTGCATTTCCCTACATTTCATCAGAATATTATTTTAAATGGAAACAGCAGGCACAAATGACCAACTGATGCATACAAATTAATGTATGGTTGATTAAAAATAAAGAAATGGCTAAAAAGCAGAATGCTCTGCTGTGTACCAAGAAATTAAACGATCAAACATACTAAGACACAGCAAATGGGAGCAGGATGGCCGTCTCTAGTAAGATAATTTATGCACTGAGATTTCTATCAATATGAATTTAATAAGCAAATTTTCAAATTATCTGCATACAAGTTTGTCTGTAGTGGAAATTTTGGATTAAACAACAGCTTCAGAAAAAATGCTCCACTGAAATCTGATGGTCAAATAAATGACTTTTATTAAAGCATCCTAGTGAGTTTAAATAAAAAAGAAACAAGTCCTGTTTTATTTCTTATGTGCAAAAATAATTTCTGTACAAAGATGTCTTCATTTTCGAGACAAAAATGAGCAGCTACAATAACATTTGAAAAGTAGAAATAAAACAAATGATATGCACCCATCAGGCCTGAGTTGAACAACCTCAGTTATATAAAAATAAAAATGCTGCAAGTTCAAATTTGTGTCTGATACAATTACAAGTAGTTTTACTTGAGTAAAAGGTATTATAGCAATATCCATTCAAGTTAGCTGCAATGAGGTAATCCAAACCAGACATATTTACATAAGAAACATGAAAGCCTCTATGACAAGAAGCGCCAAAAGTGCCAAAATGTAATAAATCCAAAAAAATCTTCGTTAAAATGAAACTGGAAATAAGTTAATGTATTTTTTTCATGCAATCATCAATTGGGAGATTGATGATTAATTTGAGGCCTTATTCACCAAGTGGAAAAAAAAACAACTATGGTAGTCAGAAATTATCTCATGATTTCTCTGCTGGACAGCATAAACTAACATAAACCGTTAATGTGGTTTGTCAAAAAAACAATGTTATCTATTACCTGCACAGTTCTCTACTTCAGAATAATTGTCTCACCCATCGACTGATAAGCAAGTCAGGCAAATAAAATGAACAGCTAAAAAAAAAATTGTTTTGCTCAAATGTTTTGCTCAATACAACAGAGTTCTGAAAATACAAGCATAAGAAATTATTTATTTTATTATGACCATAGTATTTATTTATTTATTTATGTGGCACCTGTGGTTCTCCACAGATGCCACAAGTTTGTTTAGTAAACTTTTTTGTTTAGATGTAAAAAAAGTGTGTAACATTTGACAGAGTGAAATGATGTATGTGTGTAAATTGTTTTTAATTCATACGTAATTTATTATTGTGAAATTTGGCACTTCTTAAATTTCACTGCACAGTTATTCAATAAAAGAATTGTGATTCCTCTCCCACCCCCATTTTTGTTTGTCAAGTATGTTAAAACATATTTGGTACAATGCAAATTTGATGAATTGATAGATATCTATTTTAATTATTGAAATTGCCACACAGAGCCGGGTTGTCTGTCCAAACTCGAACACTAAATATTGCCGTATTTAATAAATATGTGGATGTGTTTGTTTGTTTTAATTACCGACACAAATGCTGTAAACAGTGTGATTATTTATTTATCCAAATATGGCACTTTTGGAGCTCCATACCATAGAAGTGGCACACAGTCTAAACCTCTGTTCCCTCCCGGTTGTATAGTAGATTATTTACGCTGAAGTGGTTGGAGAGGCTCTGCGCTGATGTATAATAGTTCATTCTGTTGTCAGAGTTCAGGGGGGAGATTAAGGAGGGACAGTAGGATCCCAGTCCCGTCATGCCTTCCCTGCTCTGGGTCAGTTCCCCAGGGGCCCCGGAGCCGTCGCTGCCCGCCAGCAACGAGTTGACGCCCGACACGAAGCTGCTGAAACAGGGGCTGTGCTCCGCGGAGGGAGGCGGCGACGACTTTGGCTCCGTGGAGGCCGGAGATCCGTGCAGGCTGGACGGGGAAGGCGTCAGCAGGCTGCCGGTGTCGGACAGTTTGTGCGGAGCGTCCTCTGATTTGACCGGGAGAGACCCGTTTATATCCGATCTCCTTTTTCTCTTCCGTCTGAAGTTCCCGTTGTCGAACATCTTCTCACAGTTCGGGTCCAGAGTCCAGTAGTTTCCCTTCCCTGGAGTCAAAAATAACGCATTCATTATAGAGAACAAACCTCAAGCTGTCATTATAAATAATAATAATAAAAAATGTAATCAAAATGTGTAGAAAGTGTTAGAATTAGTTTGGTAAATGAAGCTGCGGACGCACCTGGGTCGTCCTCATCCCTCGCTACCTTCTTGAAGCAGTCATTCAGAGACAGGTTGTGCCGGATAGAGTTCTGCCACCCAGCTTTGCTCTTCTTATAAAAAGGAAAGTTGTCCGCCACATACTGGTAAATCTGACTCAGAGTCAGCTTCTTGTCCTGTGCGCCCTGGATGGCCATGGCTATCAGGGCAGAGTAGGAGTAAGGCGGCCTGACCATCTTGAAGAGCTCCTGTTGGCTGGAGATGGACAGCCAGCCCAGGTCGGCGCCACCGAACCCGGAGGGAGTCGGGAGGAACTGTCTCTGGTTCGAGCCGTACCCGGGCTGCATGTAGGACGAGCTGTTGTTTCCAGGGAGGTACGGAGAGGAGTTGATGGCCGGTCCATTGAGCCACAGGTAGGGGTTGGCGGACGGGGAGGTGTAGTCACTCAGACCGTAGCTGGAGGAGTGGGCCGCAGGCCTCTGCGGGTGGTGGTGAAGGTTCTGCTGGTACACGCTGTAGTTGTCGCAGTAGACGGCCATGTCCAGGAGCTCCTGGGCGCTGTGGTGCTGAATGGGGCTGGTCTGGTGGTTGGAGGCAGGCTGGTGTCCAAAGCCGTTCATAATCCACCCAAACCAGAGTCCCTGAAACAAGTGCCGTCTCTCTGTCTCTCCCTCAGGACTGAAGCCACTCTCTAAAGGGGGAGTATTTATGCGCAGCGCCCCGAGCCTCTACAGGTAGCCCCGTAAAGGAAAACTTTTTGGATGGACACACCCCTCTGCTCAGTCTTGTTGTCCTCAAGTCTTTATCCAACCAATCCACCCATCGAGGAGTTTTGATACTTTGCATCATGCTTCATGTGTCTAGAGTCTAGACTATTCAAAGAGGACCGTGCGTAATTACGCACACGCAACTCCTGGCAGTGGTTGTTTGGAAACAGCGGAGGTTGTTCCATGAATGCGAACCACTTGTTTTCTGTTCATACCGCAAAATACAGATCCCCGCAAAAAAAAGGAGACTTGTCAATAAATAGATGCATACAGGATTTTAAAAAAATGCTTTTCACTTTAATGTGGACCTTGTGCCAAAATATTGGAAAACACTCTCTTTCACTAGAAGAATTGATTATAAATCTCTTGTGTGTCAAATAATGTTTATTCATGACATGTTTAATGCTCTCTCTTTCTCACACAGATGCACATGCACATGCAAACAAACTGTAGGACAACAAAATAATGTAAAAGATAAGCATATTGGTGCTTAGAATAACAATAGATTATTGAATTCAGATTCAATACACTTTATGGTAAATGGTCTGCACTTCTGTAGCGCTTTATCAAGTCCACATGTTAGCTACATGGTAGCCGCAGCCGCTCTGGGCAAACTGACAGAAGTGAGGCTTCCATGTGCCAGGGCCACTGGACCCTCTGGACCCTCTGGACCCTCTGACCACCACCAGCAGGCAGGGAGGTTAAAAGTAGACTAAAATGTCTGCTTTTACATCCTGACAAGACAGAAGTTATTACCTTTAGATGAAATCATCTGAAAAAGAAACTGCTTGGTCTGGATGGCAATAAATTGACCTTTAATAATAAAGTGCTGTTATTTTTATCACTGATTTTATGTTTTTTTTTTTTTTCATCTCCACTGAAGCGACACTAGTCATTGGAGAATATACCATAAAATTAGGCAGGGTAATTTCATATCAAAAACATTTTGCTATAACAAGCAGTTAATTGATATGCAAGAATCAGCAATACAAGCTGGTTTGTTCAGGAGCAGCCAGTCAAAGACACAAGCAAACTAAGCAGCAAACCTACAGATAACTGTCACCAGGTCAGATCTATGAACCTAAACTGGTTCACCTACTGAACTAAAATTTTAGTATATTAACTTTACATGTGATAAACAGGGATCCGAATTATACTGGAGCCTCATTTAACACATCACATCAAAAATGAGTGTCAGCTCATTTTGGTTTATTTTTAACATTAAGAAGCTTTTGTTGTGGAGCAGCCAGTGGAATAAAAGTCTTGTTGCATAAAACATTGTTCTCCTCAGGAAGTAACTAGTTCTGATTGACTGAGGGAGAATTCAGCTCACTGCTGCTGCACTGCTGCTGCACCAGTTTGATTATTTGAAGCTATTTGTTCTTCAAAACCTTCAAATCTGAAAGCGAACTCAAGCAAAACAGATGTTTTTTTTCTTGAACAGTGACACCAGCTGGAGCAAAAATGACTGAGAATTATTAAATGAGTCTGCAATTTAATATAACATAATAAGTCTATAGGGTATATTAAATGTTTACCGTCTGGATGGATCATATTTAAGTTTATATTTACAACCCCCCAAAAAACATACTGAGTCTGCAGTCATCCTAGCGAGTGGTGGGCTCTGCCCTGCAGGATGCGGCTGGACTACCCACACACTAATCGGGGGAACATTCCTCCTCTCCATGACCTTGATGTAATCGTTTGGCTCCAAGGTGTTGTCCCTACCGAGAGTTGTGCATGGCAGCAGAATGTAACGGACTCCAGGGAGGGGGAGGGATGTGGCATTTAACCCCGAGATGAAAGAAACATAACCTTTTAGGTGTCTAACAGCCAGCATTGGGAATTACTCCTGACTGTACATCTGGCTCAGAAAACACTTTGTTTTCACAAAAATACTGCTGTTAGTCTTTCTATGATTTCTTACTGTATTGGGTGTCATTGTATCACATTTCAATCCCTTTTCACTATTACAAAAACAGAGTGAATTATGGGAATGTAAAAGCAGCTAATCATCAGAACCTTTTTTCCTGTCTGTGGGAAAGGGCCCCCTCTATTGGCTTCTTTTTAAGGGACATGCTGCTCATCTACAACCTCTGCCCTTCTCTCACTTCAGCTAGCTTGGAGTGCTGCTTCTTTTCCCAAGTCCAGTCTCTAAAAGTTACTTCAGCTTTTTGATTCATCTCTTCTTCAACACACGACTCATTACCTTTGTGGAGTTGAAGGAATTTCTGATCAGAGAGCTCCGCTGTTCATCAGGCTGGGAAAGGAGCACATCAGTCAGAGAAGCTGTTAAAAATGCTGATGGTACCTCTGGAGGAGCTGCAGAAAGTCACAGCTCAGGTAGCTGAATCTATTAACAGGTCCTTTATGGAAGAGTGCCAAGAAGAAATACATTAATAAAATTGAGCAATAACAAGTCTTAGACTTAGAGTTTGATTCCAATGGATTCAATATAAATTATACATCAGTTTACATTGGTTTAAATTTTTTTTTTTACTACTTTAGAATTATGCACTACTTCGTGGTGGTCCAACACATGACTAAGTGTGAAAAGGTTCAAGGGGTGTGAATACATTCACAAGGTATGCTTTAAAAACAACAACAAAACTGCACAGCCATCCACATTAACTGATATTTCACACTTGCTACCCTGGAACAGCCCATGAGAAGTGATCACGCTAAAACATGACTTACACGACTTCTGTCATATTGTCAAACTGTAGCCAAAACTAAAAAGTAAAAAAAAATAAAAAATAAAAAAGCTAATAACTTCAGTTTATGCAAGTTAGCCAAATCAGGGCGCAGCCTACATCAGATGGTTTCAAATGTGCTGGAATGTTTCCTAGCATGCTTGAATATTTGGTGCAAAAAAAGTTCACAAGCTGTTCCATTCAGCTGAGCCCAAAATTACTCATAATGCTGGCAGATTCAGATCTAAAGTAAACTTTTAATTGTACCAACATGTTTCTTCTCACTGAATGGAATATTTTCAAGAGACCCAGACAGATTCCTGACAAGAAGTTTGGCACCCAGCAGCTTTATTTGCTTCCTAAACACCATAATCATTGACAAGAGAAAACGTGCAGGAAGCTAAAGATCGGGATTATTGAAAGGATGTTTCTTACTTTGAAATGATCACCTAAGCAAAACAGTTAAAATTATCAGAAGCAACACCCAAAATGCTGCTCAACAATTGCAAGGGTTTGACTTTTGTGTTGCCAATAAATTTTTTTTCCTTAGGTTAGAACAGAAACAGAAGTTTACAACATGATATTATAACTCCAAATGTGGCATTTAATGTCCTTAGGAAATTTTCACATCTTTGGATTGAACGTTTTCTTGTTTTATATTGCACGTTTTTAAAGCCACACCTCTGTGTATGAAAGAATAGAAGACACACACTTGTGAATATTTCGATAATCAAAAAACACAAAAAGCAAAAAAACTTTTGTGTCTACATGAAGAGCGAGAATTATCCTAAAGGGTAAACCTTACTTTCTAAACCATAACCCTAAACATATGCCTAGAAGCAGAAAGGTTTCCAGGCATGTTTAATCGATGGAATGACCCAGTCAAATTCCAGGCCTATATTCAGTTCAGATTCTATTAGGATGCCTCAAAAGTGCTGCTATGTGATCATTATTTTTTTATATTTTGCAAAGAAATGAGTCAGTATGGATATGGATTTCAGGCTTTTAATGTACAAAAGTCTGAAAATGACATCTGCATTTCGGAGACTGAATGCAGGATAATCTTGCATTCTGATGTTCTGAGTGGAAAATGAATATGATGCCTGATGCTAAACCATCTATGACTATAATGTCTAAAGTCAGCAGTTTAGGCCCGGTGTCCTTCGTATTTTAGTTGTAGCCCTTATTCAAAACACCTGCACCAAAATACCGATTCATCATCAGGCCACTGCAGGAGGAGGTGACCTGTGGAGGCTGGAGAAAAGACTAGACTCAAACCTGTCCTGCTGATGTGAATGATTCAGGTAAGTGGGGGTTAGACTGAGTCAGTCCCGAAGTTTCCTTTGTGCTTATCTGAAGCTCTGATATGGATCCTCTCTCTGAAGCTCTTTCAGGTGACATAAGCTTTTCCTTATGAGATCATATCAAATATGGAGAGGTCAGAAAGCCATGCAGAGTCATCAAAGCCTCCCTCAGCCTGACCACATGTGAGCTCTCTATTGTATGTGATAGGAGAAATGCCACACTGTCGCTGCTCTGTTTTATATGTATCAGCGGATTTTACGACTAGGATTGGAGCTCAACTCCTGCTGGTATAAACAAAGGCCCTCTGGGTTAATAAGACTTGTTTTCTGCAGACTGCTTCAGCTTTAACTGTGTGGCTGTATGACTTTGACATCTGCAAACTGTTTACTGCTTTAAAGTAATTACGGGACTATTAGATGCACTCAAGGCCATTAAAAATCAGGAGAGGGTGAGATAAAGTCATTAATTTTGTCTATGTAAACAAATTATTCCAGTGGCCAGAGGCTTGTTCTGCTCACTGTCTCCCTCCAGTGGAGGAATAAAGCAGAATAAAGGACTGCAGTTTAATTTTTATTAATGCACAGCTCGGCCCAAAAGGATGAAACTACATGCAGAAATAAGAAACTACATGCAGAAATAAGAACTGCTTTCACTGACTGTTCACATAATTTAAATTCTTCTTGTACCTGCCTTGAATCTGCTGTGGTTTGGCTTTTGTGAATCCTTTATTTCTGAACTCACTGGTTATCATTCCTAAGGTTGGCAAAGACAAACCCACTCCATAAAACATGGCAAACTCCAGCTGAGTTTTGCACTTTGTCTTCAGCTCTTTACAGGAGTTCATGAGGTGAGTAATAGTTTTAAATTAAACCAGAGAGTGAAAACGACTGGGAAAATTGCTGGCACCTCACCGCCATCCCTGCAGGAACCGGCGATGTGTTTATGGAGCACGCTTCATCAGAAAAGACTTTATGTTCATTCATTGTCCTTCCTAGAAAAAAGACATGAAGAAAGCATGGGAAGCAGCAAAGTAAATACCAACATTGCATGTGGAAAAGCGCCTGAAGATAGGTTTGTACCTGCGCTGTGAAACCCAGAGAAAGTGTTTCTTAGCAATTAGATGCTTCTTTCTGTGTTTTCCCCTTTGACCAATTACGGTTTTGCCCTGACAAACTGTCTGCTCGAAGGCGTTAGGCTGCCAGTCCTGAAAACGTGCACTAACCTAGACTGAAGTACAAGCAGCTGAGACTCCTGCCCTATTGCTGCAGGTTGCATTAACCTAATTTACCCTCTGCTCCTGATTACATGCTGGCAGGGCGTCTCAATGTTGCTGCTGCTGCTGGTCAGCAAGAGCCAAAATCTCAGAGTTTGATGTTGCACCATCAATACGATGTGAAAGACAAGACCGCAGTGACTGCACTCTCCAGGGGAGGGCAGCATCGTCTCAGAGGTGACATGCACGTCTTTGCACAGTAAATCGAAGCACATTCATCAGGCCAAACTGTGCAACTTTCTGGGAGGTAAAATATATCAAAACCCAGAATATGATCAGTGTATTGATTTTAATCTCACAGGAGTCGAGAAATAGAGAGACGTCAGAATTTAAAGTAACAATGAAACAAGTGAAAAATGTGTCTGTCATGAAGTTCACTACTCCGAATGTGGAGGGTTTAATTTTCCTAAAGTATTACGCGTTTGTCGATACAATCCTGTCATGTATTACTGCAAATAAATGTGTGTTTAAAACGCAATGCAGCTTCTTAATCATTACATTAGGGCAATTTAAGAAAAACAAAACTAAAAAAAACACATAAAAAACACAAAACAAATGGAATACATAAAATATAGACATGAGGAAAATATAGACATGAGACCGAATTAAATAGATGTAATTAAACAAGTTAGGATCAATATTCCTCCACTGAGCCAAAATGCCGCTGGCTCTTATTAGTTATTTTCATGTGAAGCTCAAACAAGCTGGGAATTTTGCCCTCTCATCAAACCACTTCTCCACCCCCGATCTCTAGGTGAGTTTCCTAGCAACACATCCGTCTGACTGCCTGGGAAAGCCCTGAGCTTTATAATAGCCTCAGCTAATATAGATCAACACCACTTGGCTTCCCAGCTTTCTCTCGCTTTCTTTCTCCTTTTAGAAAAACAGGAGCTTTAAACACAAACGGGCTTAAACTTTGAATCTAAATCTCCAAAAATGACATTCATCTCATCTATCAGAATGGATACTGTGCATCTAATGCAACCTGCAGCAGTTGGGCAGGAGTCTCAATCAAAGAAAGGTTGGATACAACCTTTCTTTGATTTTAGGAGCTGATTGTGACACCCAGTTTTGGTCAGAAAAAAGAAAGCATCAGGCTGGAGTTTGTGAAGTTCGAAGAAGTGGAGAAAATTGCATTAAATGGCTCAGATAAAGATTAGTCCCATGTCTGCACCTTCTGGGCTTTTTTCCCCAATCCCTTCAACAACTAAAGGCATCCCTTGGAAAAATCCGTGAAGAGTATAAAAAGGTTCTTTGCAACTAAAAGGTAATCTCAGGCTATAATATTCCAGGGTATAACAAGAGGTTCCCTTGGACAGGAATATGACCTTAATCTGCAAAGTGACAAAAACCAAGAGAACATCCCATCCAAGTGACGCAGAGGTATGCTAATGTTCAACAAAAACATGACCTACTGGGCTAAACCTGCACATATCTACAGAGGGATAACTGGGAAGTTTAAACTGGTACTGTGACGAACACGACCCAGGACCCAAATCTGGTAGAAAACTTGTGAAAACAGCAGAAAAGAAGGAAGCACAACAGAGGACAGAACTCTGGACAATCCAGAGAGACTGGGTCAAACAGAAATGACAAAAGATCCCTCTATCTGTTTGCTGAGACCACATGACTGAGGACATAATGCTCAATATCAGAGCTAGAAAATAAAAATGAACCCTGGAAGGATACACTCATCTAAAGAGGTTATTTGTTGAAGACTGTTTTGTTCTGTGTCTCATGTCCTTCAGCATTTTTGAACTCAAAGAATTAAAGCACATCAGAGCTTCAGCATTGTTCTTGGCATTTCTGAATGTTAATTTTATATAAATAAAATTATTTTATATAAATATATAATATATAATTTTATATAAATTACCATGTGCAATGAATTTCATTTCTTTCAAAGGCATTTTCAAAAGTATTTTAAAAACACAGGTTTCACCAACAGTTCAATAATCCAAAGCATTTACATTTGAAATCCTCCAAGCCAGGAAACAGACCTGCAGACCACCAGCAGGCTTACGGTTGCATCCCCCATTTATATTTCCAGGTTTCGACTTCAACTAAATAAAGTCGTACAGACGCAAGGCGGAGAAGCATTCACAGCGAGACAACAGAAGATTTACTTGTCATGTTGATTCCGTCACTGAACACAATTCATTCAGTCAGTTTATTGAGGCGCTTCCTGACAACTCTGCTGCGACAGACACGGCCTTTGAAGTGTCTGTAAGACTCTATCTGCGACAGCTACATAAAGCTCTTCACCACTGTATGAAAACACCAACTGGTCCAGTGCCATGGCCACAAAAGGCAGGAATGCCAGTGGTTTCCTGTACAGACTGACGTATTGAATGACATTTTCAAACATGGATTAAATTTAAGGAGCTTTCATGCTTACGAGTGGGTTATCTGTGACAAAGTTTAAAGTAGAATTAGCTTATAAAACAATATCACAACCCCATCATTTGAGAAGTGACACAGTAGTGGCAGCATCATGCTGTGGGGGATTTTTTCTTTACAAGCAGATGGAGCTGGTCAGACTTAATGGGAAGCTAGATGGAGCTAAACAAAGCGGGGATTTGGAAGAAAATCTTTGAGAGGTGGCAAAATACATGGGAGTAAGATGAAGGTTCACCTTCCACAGGGATAATAACTCCCTGTGGAAGTGATCCATATCCATGTGCTGTAACAAATGTGCACATATACATGATGATTCTGGATTTTACCTCAATCAAATTGCGAATCAGTGGCAAGAATTAAAAACTAACGTTCTCAGCAACATGTCTGGCTGAACTGGAGCGATTTTGCAAAGACGAACAGGCAGAAATTGCAGTGTGTAGATGTGCAAAGCTGGCAGACAAACACAAAAACACTTGTCACTGCAGTAAGAGTTAGCTCCACAAAGCATTAAATTACAGGGGGCTCACACAAAATGCAGGACAAGCTGCAGGAATTGAAAGTGTGGAGTGATTGTTTTGTGCCATCACTGTACATCCTGCAAGTGTCTGCCAGATCGAAAAGTTTAAAAGCAACTGCTAACAAAATGCATTACAAGAGTCTGTAGCTAGATTCCATTTGGGAGGAAAAAAGCCATGAAAACACAGTAGACAGGTGTGCTGGTATATGGAAATGTTGTCCTCTTTTATTATGCAATAGAGACATTTAAAGAGAAGTGCACACACTTGCTGCTGCTCAGCAAATGAAAGTGTGTCACGAAGGACGGGAAGGGAAATACACACACAATATCCTTGGCTGAAATGACAAATGAGATGAGGATGGAGTCCGTTGTAAATACGTTTCTGCTGAAGAGAAGGAGCCCCTCTCGCCCCACCTCCCAGCAAAGTCTCTAGAAATCCTCTCAATTAAGCCTGCTTTTTTCCCCTTTGCCTCCACTTTAAGGAGTGAGAGGCTAAAGCATAATGGCTGAGCACAAATCACAGAGAGCCTATTGAAAAAGCTGCCAGTTAACCATGTAATATTACCACTGCTGAAATGCTTCACTCTTTATCCCTTTTCAATTGCAAAGCCAGATATGGGGAGTGTGCTGGGTATTCTTGATAAGTGAATTAAAACACTGATGAAACTTTTTATTTCCCTCTCAAAGAGATTGGAGTGACTGGACACATCTCTGAAATGCAATAAGGTAGTTTAAAAAGCAGGATTGGGCGCCTCTGGGCTCCAACTTTTATTGTTCTACAACTTTAAATGACTTTGGAGTCATTATGAAACTTTGAAACTCATCAACCATGACCCTTCTGACCCCACAGTGACATAATAAAAAAGCAATAAAAATATATTTAACCATCATCTGCCAAAGTTGAGACGTCTGCCGACCAACTTCATCAAACCGAAAGATAAATATTTGAATCAGATTTACACATTTAGTTAATGTCCATCTTTGTCACCAGGAAAATTGTGATGTTCTCATCTGTAGTTTAAAAAATAAACAAAAAATTTAAAAAAATTTGTACACAATTTGCAATTTATCATTTTAAAACTTAACACTTTAATTTCTAATTCTCTTTAACATAGATTTATAAAACTAAGTATATTTTTCTAAGGGATTCTATGAACATTTATATTTCTTACCTCTGGGTTTTTATTTTGCTTTCACCAAGCTTCTCTTTCATATCATTTCCATCAAATTCCAAACCCAGAGCTACTTTTCATAGAGCTGTGGAAAAGTATTTGCCCTCTTAAAAAAATTTATATTGAACAATTTGTAGAATATATCACTTAAATACCAAACGTGGCATCTGCCAAAAATATCAAATAGGAACACATCTTATAGCTTAAGTAACACAAAAGATCAGAAAGTCACTGGCATTCAACATTCTTAATGTCTTCCAAAGTGATATCTATCTATACATCCGACCCTCTCAAATGAGACAACACTATGAGTAAATGACAGTATCAGAGCAAGAGAGCATTTCTGAAACAACCCAGTTATTAAAATTAATTTGCAGCCATCATTATCTAGGTACATTTAAAATGAACATTTTGCAATAGAAAAAACAAAACATGAAACTCACCTTTTCAAAGAAAATGTACAACCCCTATTAGTCGGCAGATTATATCTAATGGTGTTTTAGCACTAGAATAATGCAGGGTTCTCAGTTCAATCAGCCAGATAATTAAGAAAAATGTCACATCTTCACTTGGTTTTATTTCTTTTTGTTTCTGGACTTTTAAAATGGACGAAACCACCTTGATTGTGTCTTGTAGTTCCAATAGTTCCTTGGGTACAAGGATAAGCAGCAAGGTCTGTACTACATAGTGTTACGATGCATGAAACTGTCCCTCATATTCAGTAAAGTGTAGAATAATGATTACATTTTTCTCCTCAGCTACACAAAAAACAGACAATTGATTTGCTGTTTATTTATTGCTCTTGGTAATTGGTGTGAAGGAACATCTAAAAAAGTTTACTTATTTATATGAGGAAACTACACATGGCTGTGCATTTTGATCAGAGTGAACTACCAACTACCAATAATGAGGCATTTTACTATATGCGTTCACAAAGACTACGAGCTACAAGTGGTCTCGTATGACAGCTTCCCTCCAGAAAAAAAGAAAACCAGAGGGGGAAAAGTGTCACTCAGTGTTTCTAATTAGGACAAAAAAGAGCTTTAAAAAGCCACATCTTCTGGAGATAAAAACACCTTCAAACAACAGATGCTACATTCGGAGCGTTTCTTCCCCTCAGGCAGACACCCACTCAAAAAGTGTCAGCCGACTACAAGACTAGAAGAGTAGGAGCAACTTGGGGCAAGTACTTCAAAAAAGGTCCCACCAGCTGGTTTTGTGACAGAAAATAAGGCCCATATATGCGTTTACCAAATGTACAAAGTTGGTTCAGAAAATGATGGCACAACGGAGCAATTTTACAGCAGCTTCCAGCCACAAATGGAACAAAACACTCCAGAAGTGCTGGTTCTCATCATGTCGTCTGACTTGACTGATGAAAGTTCAAAGAGTGTGTTGTCGTGACAGTCAGGATGATGAAGCTCCAGCAGATTCTGGCGCCGTCTTTAGTAAAAGGCCTTAAACATTTCATCCTGACTTGGATTCTGATTTTCTTTATACTCGTCTTTGTAAAATAATTGTTGAAGAAAGATTACATCAATTCAGAAAAATATGAATATTAATAAACTACTTCTCATTGCACAAATATGTGGTATTTTCATGTTTATCAAGCTCAGTATTTCCTATAGGGGTCCACCCAAATTACGCATGAATTCACCTAAAACATGGCATAAAAAGAGCCCGACTCTCTTCAGAAAAATGAAAGAAAAGCTTTTAAAAAAACCTCTTTTTACCTGACCTTCAACAGTAGCTTTGAATGAAATTTTTAGCATTGAAAAGCATTAACAATAACAAAGAAAACTTTGGTGTAGCAAAGACACTGTTCCATTATTTTTCAAGATGAAGCAAATTTAAGATTCAAGCTTTTTCAGCTACGTGGAAATCCCACTTTCACTCGAGTGACATGTTTCTGAAAACGGAGCTCATGCATGTTTGATGCAGAAACTGCTGTGATAGCTGCCAGTCAAGGAAGCAGAAAGCTTTACCACTCAGTGTTCAGTTAAGGTGAGAGAACATAGAAAGAGTGTCAGGTTGTTCTGCTACTTCTTCTTTTTTACTTCCAGAAAGTGCAAAGATCTATTTTCGGCGTCTCTCCGCGCAGGCAGAGATAATGAGGAAGACAGCTCTCTTTTTTTTTTTTTACAAATACATACATTTGAAAGTTTATTCAGAAGTCATGTCAGTAGTGAACTGGAAAAAGTCAATGTTATTGGAATTCAAGGTTACAGCAATCAGGAACATGGTCTAAACAATGATGCTTGAATATATGGAATAAGAGTTAGCAGGATGTGCACTCCAGATATTTTACCGATGAGATTCATGATAGGTTCTCCAAAATCTCTGTCTATCCAAACTTACAAGCCCTTTTTTGTTTCATATAAATGCCACTAATCTAGTGATGCGTTAATACAAAAAAAAAAAAAAAATGTCATGATTAAATCACATACAAAGAGACCTGAAATAAAATAACATAATATATACATACCTCTGTACATAGTAGGGTGATATGAATAACAGAGACAGAAATAATGCTGTAATGAACTTTTCGCTCTCATTTAATTGAGTGGGTCAGTGTTGAGAAGCTGCTGGTCCCAGCTTATCTTCTCTGAGCACAATCTCACGTCATGATAAAAAAAAAAAAGCGCAAAGTGGCGGTTCTAGACTGCATCTACAAGTTCAGTGACTATTCATCTGTGAAACGCGCTCCCTGCTGGAGACGGCATCAACCATGAGACAGAAAGACTAAAGGAGAGACTTAAGGACGATAGGAGGGGGCGGGCAGCGGTGAGGTATTCATCTTGTCAAGCTAGGATGGGGAGCGAGGGATGAGTGGGTGAAAACAACCCTTTTGTTTTTTCTTTTCTCTTTTTCCGTGGGAACGTTCACTGTTGATGTTTTTGTTTTGTTGTCAGTGTGCTGTTTGGTCTTTCCGTCACTGTCTTTGTTTACTGTACGATTCCTGAATCGATGGAGGTCTGTTTCCTGGTGGTCTTGGGAGGAGGAGGAGGGGGCGTCTTGCTAGGAAGAGGAGGTGGAATGTGCTGCAAAACAAAAGAAACCCCAGAATTATATTTGTCTCATGACAAAGAAATTTAATTCAGAAATCTTTTAATGCAGAGAGAAATGACAGAATGATGACTCCGAGCCAATGTACCCCTTTGCAATTCTGCATCCGCATTTCCTACGCACAAGTTACCATTTATTCCATTTCATACATGTCCAAAACCCCATTTTGTATCAATTTACTTAAACCATCCCATGTCAGTTTAATTTTGTCTTTACTTAAAGATATTTCATGAATAATAGCGATATAAAATTTATCAAAATACTTCAACTTTACACATAAACCTGTTTTTAGTCACTAGTTCATTTTATATTGGTTCTGATATCCAGTTGGGCCTGTTGAGTGTCTTGGATATTCTTCTAGACATAACTTATTGGAGTGGACAATGAGGACAAAGTTAAACTCTCTTCTGGTGGAGCAGAACTGATGTACAGTTCTTACAAAACATCCCTCTGGCATCTACAAACTTATATACGGTCAGTGCCAAATGTTTCTAGTAGTTAAGAAGTGACTTAGTTGGTACAAAATGTTCCCTGGCAGGAACAAACTGATATATGATTAGTACAAAACTTCTCCCTAGTAGTTGTGAACTGATGGCAGGTCAAATTCAAAGGTCCTCTTCAAGGTCGCAAACTCTCACGTTGTTGGTACAAAATGTCCTCTGAAGACTTCATAGTGATGTATGGCTGGTACAAATCATGCTCTGGTGGGTAGGAAGTGACAAGAGGTTGGTATGACTCATCCAGCTGGCAGGTTTTTCAAAGTAAGGTAGGTAAACAGTGGTTTTGTCCAAAGTCAGTCCTAACGGACCAGTCGCATGCATGTCTTAGTCTTTTTTTTCTACTTCGTCACACCTGCATTGAATGATGATTTATTATTAGGACTCTGCAGAACTTTGACAAGCTCAGGAGGTACAGTGGTTGGACCACTGGCAGGACACTAGCTCTAGAGGACTGGATCTGGACAGCCATGGTGTCAGACTCCAATCTTCAGAGACCAGTGTCCTGAAACTCTTAGGTGTCCATCACACATGAACCAAACGGCTGAAACGCCTCCTCAGTCAAGTTATTCAGAGTCCTACAAATCACCTAAGTGGAGACACATACAGTTGACACCCATGGTTTATAGCACCAGTCTGTACTGGTAGGTCGTTGGTACAAAATGTCCCCTGGTGGTATGAACTGATGTATGAACAAAAGGATACATCCCGCTAGCAATGCAAAATGTTATACAATTAGCACCAAATGTCTCCCCGGTGGGAATGAGTTGATAAGTGATTTGTACAAAAGATCTCTCAAGCAGGTAGGAATTAACAAATGGTTGGTATAAAATATCCCCCTGGATATCTGGGCACAAAATTATAAAGGGTTGGTATGAAATGGCTTCCAGGCAAGTATGAACTGATACATGCAGTTCATACTGACAAACTTACATATATTTATGATGAAATGTCCCCCTCGTGGGTATGAAGTCGTACAGTTAAAAGGATATGACTAGCGATAAAAGATGTTGCATGATTGATAGCAAATGTGCCCTTGGTGGATATTAAATGACATCTGGTCTGTGGTGTTTATTGTGATAATGACAATAAAAACCCCCAAAAAAACAGTTTCTTCAGAATTTTTTAGGCAAGTGTATTGCTGTAACTTCAAAAGCCAATTAGTTGGTTGCTGTACGTCCTACAACCAAGAGCAAAAGATAATTTACAGGAGTGGATTTTGTTCCGAATACATTAAATATGTTGAAGGTATTTTTTTTTATTCAGTCTAAACAGAAAATGTCCCAGTTGGTTAAGCAGATCTCTTGCCTTTAACAGCAGATGAGGAGTGATACTCTTCGATAGCCTCACCTGTCCCTCCATAAAAGACTGGAAATGAAGAAGGGCAGTCACTAACCTCTCAGAACATGTGCTCTCGCTGCGTTAGTGTCAGTCTTCTGCCACATTGCGTGCCAGTGCTCAGTTTTACTACCTGTCCACGGGCCGTGACACTGGATAAATAGGATTAGTTAACAGCCAGTCCAGGCCAGGCGAAAAGACGGCTTGAGTAGAAGTCAGCAAGTGTGGAGAGATGAGTCACTGATTAACAGCTGGAGAGCTTCTGATGAATGGGAGAGGTAAAGTAATCATCCAATCAATCACGGCTGAGCACCAGGCCTTCTGACAGGACCAGCATAAATAACGGCAGGGCAGACAGGCAGCTAACTGACTGATGCCACACTCATTATGTGCCACACTCTTCTGTGGCACATATTGCAGAAAACCTGAGAAAAAGCCCCTAAATTAAACTGTGAAAACCTGCATGTGGACATGTAAGAATAGATAAATGGGGGGTTGGAGGATAAAGGAATTACGGTGGAGGTTGAACTAAATGTCAAGTGTGAGTATCGGACGTTTGTTTTAGTCCAAGTTTCATGCATCATTAGGGAGTTAATTAAAACACCTACTCTTTGATGCGGTGGTGGCGGAGGAGGCGTCGAGGGACTCGTCAAGTCTTGATTATCTAGCAGGTTGCCGTAATCTCCTGTGCTGCCTTTCAACGGCAGGGGAGGAGGGATCTCCCCCTTGTCAGTGCAGCCCATCCCGTTCAGCTCCAGACCTGTGAGAAAAAGGCCAACATCAGCAGACATTCATCAACAAAATTCATGAGGGTCTCTGTAAGATCAGGGCTCTCAGCCAAAAGACGTTAAAAAAACCGAGTCCAACTGCTGGGGTTGTAACAATGCGTCCAGTTCCCCAGACAACACGAAACAGAATACTGAGTTTACAAAAAGTGAGATTTTAACAACACTATGTGTTAATTAATCTATGCTTAGTGTAGAATAATTAGTTCCAGGTTACACTAATATCAGTAATGAAGACTTTCATCCAGTCAGAAGACTCCAAAGGGATTTACGCTTTCATCAGTGACCCACCCATTCACACATCCAAATGCTCATATCATTAGAATATATCAAAATTAAATAACCTATAAAATACAAAGCTAAAACATTTCTTAGTTTCTGTGAAAACTAACTAATCTACAAAACTATTAGAAGAAGACAGCAAAGGAATTGCATTTTCTTTAATAAAACAGTTTTTTCTATAATTAAATTTCTCACATACTGATAAAAAACATGTTTTAATTATAAACTCATTTTATTTCAGGCTGAACTAAGCTGAGACATTAGTGATACTTTCTTTAAGGACATCAGATTCTTTTCTTCATGTAAAGAATTGCAGTAAAAACCAAATCCATATTTTGCAACCACTAAATGACTGACAGCTAGTTGGATTTTGACAGCAGATTTAACAGTTAAATTCCAGCAAATGAGTAACATCAACATGTGAACAAGTTTTAATTAAACAGTCAAAACATAAAAATGATCACAGCCTAAAACTGCATTCACCACAAAATATAAAATAATTTCTTTAACTATGGTTCCACTGAACTGCGTATACCTTATAAAAGTATTAAAGTTGTTGTTAATATATTTTTGATGTTATGCATAATTTCTTTGAATTTTGTTTCATTCTATAAACATGACTATTTTAATTTGTCGTGCTTATTGAGTTGTTGCCATTATTTTTCCATTCAGCTCTATGATCAGTATTTGCCATTTCTAATTTGCTCTACAAGTAAAAGTAAGCTTACTCTGTGGTAATGCAGAATTTAAAAACCACAGAAAGTTTCAGGATTTTTGTCAACATTGACAAAAAATTTCTAGATTCTTATCTTGACAGAAAACTGCTCTTACTTGAAACAGTATTCAGGCTAAAGGTGGATTTATTCCTTGGTGCAATGGGTGGGGGTCCAGGTAAGGAGTTTGAAGTGGTGGAAGAAGGAGGTCCTGGTGAGACAGAAAGACGGCGATCCCCAGCCATCTGGTTGAGAACTTGACTTTTTGGTCTCTGAGGCCGCAGGGGGCTGATCTGTCAGGTCAAGGGTGGAGAAAAATGAAAGATTAAGTCTTTACTGAGCATTGAAACTGAAAAATCAAATCCATTCAAGTCAATAAAATGGCACTTAAAGCACATTTTTCTGGACTCTGATGAAATATCACTTCAGAAATGTGGCTTCATGTCTCCTCTGGGGTTGTTGTGTCATTCTTCACACATATTAAAACCACTATTTGTATTCCTAGAGAAAAAACCAATTTAGATAAACGTGCTTGTCGGGTTGGAGGGTGTTATTTGTGGTTAGTAACAATTATCTGCATGCATGAGAGCGTTTTCCTTACTTTATTGTGCCTCAAATTTGAATATGAAAAGAAACGTCCTTGGGGCTACTCTGCACTGCAGGCGACATTAACAAATAACTTTGTAATTGGTGGAATTCAAACACCCGGCCATGAGGGAGACACTGGGAAATGCAGCATGTAATTTTGTACACAAACAGCATGAACTATATTGATGATTGTGTTAAATATCAGTTCCGATAAAGCAACTATACAAACATTTATCAATGGTCTGCTCTTGACCCTTCAGGCATAAAATGGCTACATTATGTTCTCTTAGCTCTGTGTTGTTAGCCTGGGAGTATCCCCTCTGGACATAAAATACATTTACACCTCTTTGCTGTAATAGGCAGAGCTGTGGTAAGGTGACATGTAAAAAGAGAAGATGGAAAGGGTAGAAAAAAAGACAAATACACCGAGCAATCCATTTATTTAACTGTACATTTATTATAAAGGAGGAAAGGATGTCTAAATAAGCCTGGGAATTGTAAAAATAAGTCATAAGTTATAGAATAATAAAAAAACTCAGAGAAAGTATACACAAGAAAACATAATGAACACTACCGTCTCTGAGAGTATAACAGCTTCAGGTTGCTGCAGTTGAATCTCTGCTGTCTTGAGTTCTTTATCAAAAGTCTCTTGGTGCTTGCTGTTCCTCTTCTCCTTCTTCCTCTCTTTGCGGTCCCTTTCTGGTTCGTCCCGGTCCAATTTGTCCTGAGACTTTGTATGCAGCTTCTTTGGTAGAAGGGGCTCCAAGACAAAGCTGAAGGAAAGAAAATGAACAAACAGATTGTGAACGAGAATGACTGAATGTTGTATTCTGTTAGCACACAGCCAGGGCAGGTGAATGAATTAGAATATCAACAAAACTCCTCAAGAAGTGATGAGCTCATAAAACACTAAAATCAGATGTTCGGAAACACATATATTAAAGAATTCATAGTATAAAAAATATTTTTAAAACAGAAATGTTCGTCTGATGAAAGGTACTGCACAGTGTTTGCATACAGAACATGGGTGGAGCTACTTTTGCTTTTGATCACTGCATTTTCTTCTACTCAATTTTCCACTAATATGCTTGGATACAGCTGTATGGAACAGCCAGATTCAGGAGAGACCTTTTGTTTCTTAACCCGTTAACTGTCATGAGGACACCATTGTCCTCAAACAGCCACTGGATAATATGTAACCAATTTTAGAGGTGACAATTAAGAGGTTTTATCCTGATCACTGACCATCTGCTGGACCAAAATCAAGCCAGTAGTTGTTCTCAATGTTTGTTTCTATCTCAAAGGACATTTTTTTTTGGCTTTTTATGTTATGACTAACTGCAGTTTGAGCTTCCAAAGTGCAGTAAAATACATCTGTAAAGACATTTCACCAAGTGTAATCAATCTACAAATGAGCTTCTCTTTTTGAGTTTAATTGCTGCACCTGTTTATGATTGTTTGTTAAACAAATAAAAGCTAAATTTAATGATAATGTACGTCCGGAGAAATGGCAAACGTTGGATTACCCATCAGATCCAGGCCTGGACGGGGAGTTGTCAGAGGAGATGGAGGTGACCGAAGCGACGGACAGCGGCCTCTGGGAGGAGGGCATGGTGAAGGAGCGCACCATGGAGGGAGGACGAGGGCCGCGACGTTCATCACCTGACGGCTGGCGCCGCAGAGGAGAGAACAAAACAAGCTTTACAATACAAGTTTTGAAATTATTGAGTTCTTAGACTTTTCTGCATAATTAATCTCACACAGGCTGCACTTATTGTCAAAACATTTAACATGAGTTCAACTGGAACTAGTAAAAGTTGGCTCTAAATTGCAAAAAAAAAAATACTTCTGCTTTGAAGAAAAATAGAAACATTTACTTCCACTGTTGAAATAATTTGCCATTGATTATCAGGGTTATAAAAAATCTCCAGTGTTTACTGTACATGATTAGGGGAGTAAGAAGAGATTTGTGATCTTTCAATTAATTTGAATCAGTTAAGTTATTTTTATTTATTTTAAGAGATTAACTAAAAAAGTCAACTTATTTACAAAGATCTTTTTAAAGAGGGGACTTCTTAACGGAAGGCGAGATGTTCACGTACTCTTTACTGTTAAAGTCCTAAAGTCAGACATCATTGTTTGACCACAGTTAGCACCGCTAAGCTAGGTAGGTAGCTAATTTGCAAGTACAGATAGCTTAGCAACTTGACAGTAAAGTAACACAGAAGTTTCTACATTGCGGTAATTAGTATCTACTAAACAAACTATTATTTATTGAAATAATATCTATCTATTATCTTGTCTCAAATAATTTAAGATATAGTGACTCGCAAGTCGTACTTAATATAGTTGGTTCATCAAACAAACTATAAATTTTATGGTTTATATCTTTTTCAACAGCAACATCATCACCCAAAGATGAGTCATTCTTAATTTCATCTGAAACTTGTGGGTAGAACAATTAAACCCACAGCCTTTGAAAGACTTTCATGACAGACAGACACATATCTAACACAGCGGCTTTATTATCAATTTCTGGGAAGTGATGTTTTTTTTTTCTCATTTGAAAGGTTGCCACCCTTTCCTTTCAACGTAGGGAGCAACTCTTTACCTCTGGCAGGATAGAAGGAAATGCTTGGCCAAGCTACAATTAGAGCCGTAAAAAAGAAGTGGGAAGCGGCCCGACGGCAGCAACCTGCTGCAGTCAGCTGACATCAGCAAATAACAAAAACAAGCATAGGTGGGATATAAAACTCTTTACTGAAAAGGAAAATCCAAATTATGTGCTTGTCAAGTTTTGTGATCAAAATTTTCCCAGTAGGTGTAAAATACCATCACAGACTGGTTGCTTAGTCTTAAAATTGTTAGACTGCTTCATGATACTGTTGCAAAATCCCTGTTGGATTCACAGTGCAGACTGTATATTTTATTGTGATTTGACATCTGGAGTTTAATGTGGATTTCTGCAAAACTTTTTTGTGGGAAAATTTCAGTTAATTGCTAAAATTTCAAGTATGCCTGGTTGCAACAGGCATACTTGTTTTCTTGTTTTTAAATTACTCAACTCTTTGCCTTTGTATTGTGTTTTCCAGTACGTCCGGTTTTTATTTAACCTTGGAGCTGCAGAGAAAAACTATTGGCTTGAGATTTTTTTTTCTTTTTTTTTCTTTTCTTCTTTCTTTATTTTTTTTATATCAAATAAATAGCCAGGCTGATGGCAATCACAATAAGGTTATCGTTTTGGCACACAGAAGCAACCTGGCGTTTTTTCTAAAAAATAAAAGCAAGCTGAACTGTGTGCCACCATATGTCCATTATCAGGCTTGTCCACCAAAGGCAAACTGTTTCAAAGAATTCTAACTGCTTCATATTAAAATTATATGTATTTGTATTTGCTCCTGTAAGATGTCTTGAGAGGCTTTTGCCTTTTTTCAAACTCAAAACTGTATTACAAATGGTTGAAGGTTATACAAAAACAGTTTATTATTATAACAATTTAGCCTGCCTACTTTAATGTTGGATGCACTTTGCATTTAATCAAATCAATCACACAATTAGGATGCCATCTTAAAATATCATTTTTGTACAGCAAATCTGTCCTGGAAAGTGCAGGCAATATGATAAGGCTGAAATGGCAAAGGCAGGAGATGTAAAAACAATATCCAAGCTAATTTTGATGTCGGACAAAGATATCTGAATTTAATAAGGATTTAATTTTTATAAGTAAAAGAAATTATTGATTCAAGACAAAGTAATTGTCCTTAAAACCTAGTAGTCCGTTGTTACACCTTTGATGGCAAGAACTGTTATCAAAGGTTCAACTGAAACACACTGGATTTCTTTTAAACTTTTATTTAAAAATAATATTAAAACAATCAGAATAAAACATTCTATTTGTAATTTTTTAACGTGTCCGTCTTGATGCATACTTGAAGTGGGCTTGAGCTATGAATTCACAAACTGAGTTCATGTCAATATTGGGGTCGTCTCTGCTAAGTCCACCTCTGTTACAAGACAGATAAAATGCCTCCGTTGCTCTGAAAACTCATTTGTTTTGCTGGGGAGGCACTATTAGCCTTCACTTGTGGCAGAATAAAGTCACTTATTGCATCACATTTTGCTCAAGATTACAAGCTATAACCTGCTCAGATGGAACTACTTTCACCTTTTCCTGCTTTGACTTTTAAGTCTTTCCAACATGAACTTTAAAACTTTTTCAATATTTTCAATCTAACAGTTGACATGAAAGGAGCAAAAACTAGCACACCGAGCAGCAAATTGGTATTCATGAAAGGAATGAAATCAAGGACAGAATAAAAAAGGTCTTACCAGATTTCTGACACCGTACTGTTTCTCCACCTTCTCTCGCAGCTGCTTGAAGCAAGCCTCCATGCGATCGTGAAAGGGCCTCAGTGCCTCGGTAACCTTCTCACCATGAATCCGAACACCTTCAGCAAGATGTGGAATCTGGAGAAAACAACAACATGATTATCCTTCAACATTAAATGTTACAAACATAAGAAACATGTCCCATGTAGACAATTCATTGTTGTCTTTCTAAAGGATTTTCATTCTTTGCCTTGCAAATAAGCAATTACTGGTATAATACAGCTAGACTTGTGGCCATGACAATCTATATTTTATACAAAAGATCACCTTCACCTTCACCTTCACAGTAGATTGTGAAAGTAGTAACAAACCTTGAACTTTTTTCTCTTTTGTCACTTTACAAATAACTAACTTTGATTAGTTTATTAGGATTTATGATAGACCAACTCTTAGTAGTTCATAAATGTGAGTTGGAAGGCTACATTTTCTCTAAAATATTTTACAATTGAACATCTGGAAAATGAAGCGTTTTATTGTATTCAGGCCCATCTACTCCGACACGCTGCAACCATCTCCCAGAACACCCTTTAATCCACCATCTTAGAATGGAAACAATACGATATAACTTAAAAACTGAGCAAGACATGGCCATCCATGACAGAAGAAAGCAATTTTTGACAGAAAGCCGTTAGAAATTCCTTTTGGTCAACATGTGCAACAGTGCGTACAGGCAAACCAACACTGCACATCACCCTGAAACTACCATCAGCATCATAATGCAGGGATGTTCCTCTTCAGCAAGGACGGTGAAGCTGTTTTTTCCAAGAAGAAAACCTGCAAAAGTTGTGAGCCTCAACGTTCACCTTCCAGGAGTATAAATGCATGTATCGTTTTTAAAAGTTATTTGAAAAATGAAATCTTAAACCAATCATTGCTTTTCTTTGAATTTACAACTACACACTGTTTTAAATAAGTAAACTTTAAGTAAAATAAATGAAAGTTTGTGACTATGAAGGAAAAAAATCATGAAAGAGTTCAAGGGATATCAATATTTTTAAGATATTTTCATTGCCTAATGGGTGATGTACCCCAGCTTGATATTTTTAACAAAAAGCATTTCCAGTGAACTTCAGCAGAAGCTGTTGCCATGGTGCACAACTCCCTCCTTGCAGCCAGAGATCACCTCCTTACAACACGTACATAAGAAGAATAGCAAATGTAAAAGTTTAGACGGACTACATCTACAGGCATGAACAAGATGCGATGGATGTTTACTTCTCCGCTGCTGACGCAAACAATGACGCAGTGCAGCCTTTCAACTTCACTGCTGCCACTAATGGGAAGCCAGTGAGTAACAAAACCTTAGCATGGAGCGGCAGCATTGCAGGTAAAAAGAGGAGCGAAGGAGAGACTGAAACTGCTGAAAACTGGTAATTAGGAAACCCCCGGTGGCACAGTCAGTGTCAGCAAGCTTTGCTGACTAAATCTAGAGAGAGGAGGAAGCAGCATTCCTCAGCTGCTGAGCAGCATATGAGTAATTCTTTTTGCTCGGCTGGGTAAAATGAGACGTATTGTCACAAATAAGAAAAAAAAAACCCTCATACTTAAAATTCCTCCTATGACAAGAATCAGATTTAAACAGTCTCTAAACTTTAAATAGCTAATCACAGTCTGTAGCTGAAGAGTACATCTTGTACATCATCTTCTATGGTGAAGAAATTCATTCGAACTGGCAGCAAATGGAAGAAACACTCAGTGTGTGAAACATCAGCAAAGTAGGACAGTGCAGAATAAGCTCTGTGTATGTCTTAAGCTGAGAATCCCTGGGGTCAGATCTTTGTTCTGAGGGCAAACTGCCCTTTCACAGCAGACGATGGAAGGAACTGGCTCCACTCCGTTGGAAAACGGCGCTTTTATAGTTTTGTGACGCAACGTTTTGTAACAGTCTCAGAGAGACTTTTTCAATCCAGGGTTTTAGTATGTTTTAGCATTTAACCAGATATCTTTATTTGAACTCATGGTAAAGAATCACAATCCCAAACCTTTATCGAATTAGTTTGTGATGTAGAACATGTAATCCTGAAAACCCTGGATTACATATGCAGAAAAGAATCAAAAAGCTTTTAATTATCAACCACACTTGCACAAGCTGGGAACTTTTCTTGCTCACTGTCACTCCCACTACTTGCATGTATTCAAAAATACTGAGATCAGCCAACAGTACTGTGTGGTCAAAGTCACACATCAGAAAAATCAATCCATAGGTACAAAACGGTTTAGTCAAGAAGATAACTCACCATTTTATTTGTCATACAGACCAATTCTTACCTGCATGACTTTAAAAGATCTACTCAGACGTGAGGAAATGTAGTTATATGACGACAAATAAGTAATAGATATCATCAGGCCGTTACACAGACATTGTTTTTTAAATCAGGGGTTTTGTTTTGTTATATTTTATGAATGTTCAATTTAAAGACATTTTTATCTCCATAATTTATGGAAATACCCAACTAAAATAAAAATAAAAAATCTACTGATTTGTGGGCTAGAGATTGAGAGGAAGCCATCATTCCTCACTTTCTGGCATTTAATTACCATCCTTACAATCTATGCCCATTTCCAATCTGACTATTGTAAATGGGATGAATGACTACATGAAAAACAAATATAAATCTGATTTACCATGTCTTAATTATACTTGTATGAGATAGTGTGTTTACAGCTAGGAAATGGAAGTAGAAAGGGCCAAAATGAGAACAGAAATTGGCGAAAAGTGCACGGCACTTAATGTAAAGCTATAGTTGGTAAATTGTTTATCAGGTAAACAGATTGTGGGAAAAAGCTCCATTTATACCTAAATGCTTTTGTTCATATTGCTTTTTGATTGTTATGGAGACTTAGTGACCCTGAAATGCCACTGCACTGCATTTCTCAACCAGGGAGCTTTAAAGATTTTTCTTACCCCCTGCTCAATCTGCAAGATTCAAGGTCTGATTTTTGTATAGCCTTGTGGAGAACAGAAAAGGTACTCTGTGCCACCTCATATTTATGCACCATGGAAACAATAGTACCCATAGTAATTTGTTACTATTCTACACACTAGAATAGTAACCCATTCCAATGGGTTATTAATTAGAATTTCAGAAAAAAAGGTTCACTAAAAAAAACCCACAAAGAGTAAAAAGCTATTTCTGATATTTCTTTCATCTACATTCTGATGAGTTTTCCCTACAATTTTGGAAAAAATATTTCCTGTGCAAATGAGAAACTGGAACTTTTTTTGAAGTTGTGAACCTAACAAGTGTTTTAGAAAGGGACAGTCAAACATGGTGGTTAAATGAATGTGAACATCTGGAGGCGATTTGCTTCTGGACAAGGATGCCGTAATTGATGGAACCATGAAAAGGGCTCTCCAGTAATAGCAGGGGGGCAATCTCCAGTAGTAGATCGTCTCATGTCTAACCTTCAGCTCAAGTTGACTTCAGTCATGAAGTGAACTCTGATAAAAAGCACACCATCCAGTCTGGAGTTAAATCTGATGGAGATACTGTGTCATGGTCTGGAACAGGCCGTTCCTGCCAGGAAAACCTTGAATGTTTCTGAATTCAGTTAAAGCAATAAAGAGTGGGCGAATATTTCTCAACACATGTAAAAATCATCACAAATGCTTAATGGTATTTGCTGCAACCACATAGTTAGGGTTAAGAAGTAGTTATCAGGTTTAGAGGCAATTGCTCTTTCACATAAGGTCAGATTGGTTTGGATACTTAAGGCCTTTTACATTTACTCAGGTTAACCTTTCATATCAAAGCTTGAAGCAGATTTTCATTGTAAAGTTGGGAAATTAATACAAATATATATAATATTAATACAAATATATATATGATTAGTGTAGCATATGTAATATGCTACACTAATCATCTTGCGATAGAAAAACATTCAGCACAAGTATCACAGTCACTGAAAGCCAATGAGTGTAGCTGTGCTGCGCTCCACTAAACCAAAGCCAGGCGCAGGAAGATAAATGAGACGAGGCAACACACACTGTGCTCAGATTTCCCCTGATATTGTGCACCTTCATCATCATCACTGCTGGGGCATTTTGAAGACAATAAAGGAGAAGAGCTTGAGACAGAAAAAGGTGAAGGAAAAGAAACTGCAGTGAAGGGGGTATAAGTTAGAGGTGAGAGAAAGAATGGGGAGAAGAGGCAGAAGGACGAAGTGTTGTGAGACGAAAAAGCAATGACAGGAGAAAAAAAAAACAGTGAGTGAAAGCTGAGGCAAGATTCACATCTCCCAGGATACCCACATCTTTTTATAGACCTCAAAATGATTGAGCGCAACTGAGAGGTGGCATGGCAACAGAGTTCTGCCTGGTGGTTGTACGCTGATAAACTCTTTGTGTACGACATTGAGGCTCAGGGCCAAGACACTCAGGCATGTTTACTTTAATTAATCATAAAAACTTTAAGATTCCTCCAGTCCATATGCCAACAGTCATTGGAAAAAGGAAGTTTCCATGATTTGTAAAGTAGTCATGGGGAAAACAAAATTTTTTGTGTGTACTTTTTGAAATTTTTATGTTTGAGTTTGTTTTCATGGGGTAAAAAAAAACCATGGCACAATCCACCTAGAGCCAAGATTAGGTGTATACAAAGGTATTTTATTTAGGATATGTGCACATGGATCCACAGATTTGGGAGATCAGAAACAAGTTTTTTTAAATAGAAACTGGAGTGACTAAATTTCAAAACGCAGGTTTCATATCAGTGTGTACAAGCGAGCTGTGTTTTTGAAACAATGTCGTAGTCTGTTGTTTGGATGCACCTTTTTTTAATCATTTGTGACAATTTTGTGTGTTAATCTCTGTGTAAACAGTGATTAAGTAGCCCTTACTATTCAATGATTAGAATAATGCACTTTGTACAGTTTTCAGAGAATGTCTATTTGTATCTAATCTGTCTAAAATGACATTGTATGCCAAATATTAGGGTTTGTTAATAGGCAAAGTTTGAAAGATAAGTTTGAGTCTCATCATCTTCTAAAGAGAAAATGCTTCATCATGATGGTCCCTCTGAATAAAGCCGACTTTTTCATTTTTTTCCAAATGTACAGTCATAAACTTTAACATACCC